ATAATATAATAAAAATATAAATTCTTTGTTAAGTCTTTAATCTAAAAATAAAATTAAAAACCATTTACTTTTGTTATGGGAAAAGGGTGTCCTTCTTTTGCATGATTTTATATTTCCTGTTTTGACATAAGAGCCTGGATATTGGGTCGCTCTTGGACTTGGACTTGGACTGGTCCTTGATTAAGACCGCCAACAGTGGACTACTGGACTGTTCTCATCTTTGTTGAAGCCCATCCCAATACCAAGAGATCCAAGACCATGATATTGGGCTTCATAACAAAACCCAACATCGAGCGCGCATATTTCAGCCATTTTTTCAAATCATCATCGAGAAAGCAAAAACTGCACTCTTTTTTTAACTTTCACCGGTTAAAATCTCCGGAGTAGTAGCCGTGGTTTATTTGAATTTTTTTTTTTTTATCAGCGTGGTTTATTTGAAATTATTTGTATTTAACTAACATTAAGGTTTTACATGATAATATTTTTTGAATTTTATTTTTAATTACTATTTTTTTTAAAAGTACATAAAATATTAATTAAAATAAATATTAAATATATAAAATATATTTTATATATTTTTAAAATGTTAAAAATTTTAAAAATTTATAATTACAATTATATATTAGGGTTGTCAAACTAAATTTAAATAGATACGAATTTATATTCTTTACATGATTCGATTGACTCTTAATTACTAACCTTAGCCTTAATGTGTTTGGTGCTCTGTTTTTTTGGTCACCAAAATCCGGGGAATGGAAAATTCTGAAACACTCTTGGCGTTTCACAGTACCACCTATGCATTGCTACATGTGTCGAACAAAAATTGTCTCAGTTGAGCAATCCTTCAGAAATCGTCTCAGTTGCTGCCCCAAAATGAAAAACAATAAATGATACTATTTCCATGGTTTGCGACCTAGGGGATGGACAGCATTATAACAAAATCAACAGGAGTGAGTAATATCATTTTATATTTTATTGAAGTTTTGCTTGTACCATGTAAAATTCAGCAAAAAGAGAGGCAAACAATAAATATATACATATATATAATACTAATATTTGTCGGACAAGTTTTTAATAAATAAGAGAACAAACACTTTAAAATTAATTAACCTTATAAGAAAATCAACAACAGTTAATAATATTATATTTTAGTCTAAGAAGAGTTCATGAAATTACGTAATTTTTGGGTTATTTTCCTCTGGCTTACAAACATTTTTCTCAGGACATATATATATTGAGCTACATAAGATCATTCTATAGATGTAACTAATCTTTGAGATCATAGAAGTTCTTTAATATGCTGATTAAGGATCATAGGCGTAAGGATCTTGTAATCCTTTTCGGTGGGATGGTAGCTGTCCCAAAATACGAATTTTGAGGCATCTGTGCAGGTTTGCCCATCACTGAGATGGTTGCACAGCTAGGTCACTTCTATCTCGCCTGTGCCACAACGACCTTTATTTGTGTATTCAAACCCTAAATCCAAAAGCAACAAAAAGAAGATATCCTTGACTTACTTATTAAAAATACTGGTTGCAATCTCTAGAGTGAAAAAACTTCTCTAGAAATTAAGTCAAGCAAGTGCTAAATCAAAATCAATTCAGGTGATGGGCAAAGGTAATTGTACCATATTTTTGAGGGTTTTGGATGATGTACATGAGTGGGTTGTAGATATCAAAATAGGCAATCTTTAAGCTTGAAAGTGTGTTCTTATCATAGATGCAATTTGGGTGGAGAGCTTGAAGTTGTAGAGTAATGCTCCATGGTTTTCGTCACCTGCACAGCCTCTTGTTATGCCTCCACCAAGTGTTCTCTGTGATGGCACACACCCAATTGGCGGCAACCCAAGAACTACAACTCTTCTTACTCCAACCTCATAAAGCTCTTGCCAATTAGGTTATGTTCCCACATCCATTAGGTGGGTTTTCTTTCTCCATTCCAAAATGTTGTGGCAGCTTCATGAGCCTACACTATAGAGATCTTCAACTGCTTCAACACCTTAAAATCTCAAGGATGTTTCCTCAGGGAAAACACTTTGATAGTCAAGTCAGCAATATTCGATATTCTAAAGAGAGAAGCTCTCAAGAATAATTGCAGAGAGAGAAGTGTAGTGGAGTTATTACCTTGAGTAGAGGTAGGTGGGGGTATTTATAGCCCCCATGTGATGACATGAGTTCATACGTGTTAGCATCTGATTGGTCTGCATGTCATCACCCACGTGGGTATGTCTAGGCTAGTGCATAGAGGCATCTTCATTTTGGGCTTATGAATAAATGATTGGGCTTGTTACACATGGCCCAAGTTGGATGTTGGGCCTATTCCCAACATTACTCCCCCCTTAGTGTTTGGTTAACAAACTAGGGTACTCGCATCCACGGCCCAACGTTTAGCCTACTCTGTAGAGCCTAGACTCTTTTGATTTTACGCACGATCTCATCAATAGTTGAGCTAAGAGATTACGGCGCAATATACTCCTACAAACGCTAAGGTTTGACCTGGACGAGCTGTGATGTATCCGGGTTGGACTCTAGATAAGTAAGCCTTAGAGGAAAAGGTTACACCTGGGCGACCTAACCATCGAGTGACCTTGTCCACCCGAGTTCAATTCAAGTACCTATGAATATAATGAATTCATGTGTCTGAGTGTGAATGGGTGAGCTCGACGAGCTCATAACAAGGGAGCTCATATAACTAATTTTCCAACTTTTGAGTGGAGTAGGCGAAGAAGGAGATGGAATCTCCTGGTAAGATGTGCATCACATACGAGGTAATAGGTGGTGAGCTCACCCGTGTTAATGCGAAAATGAGCAAACGCATGATGACCTCAACCATGGTAATCTTTCAAAAATTCTAGAATGGAGTGGATCTTTGAGGATTAATGATCGAAGACTAGCTAAAGTATGACGATCTTAACCCAAGTATCCCTCTGTAAATTTAAAACGGAGCAAAATGAGGTCATCCACGCAATTGCAAAGACGAGCTAATGCGAGACGATCTCACCCAAACTCTATGACGATTTGAATTTTCATAATTTAAATAAAACAAATTTGAGGAGATACAGTCGAGCTTGTCTACTTAATTGTAGAAATGAGCTAATGCGTTAGCTCTCATTAAAGAGGAAATCTGTCACGATGTGAACTTTGAACATTTTCAAAATTTAAAACGAAAGCAAATCTCTAAGGAGCTATGGTTCAAGACAAATATCCCTCTGCCTTCCTCACAATAATTGTTGGCTCAGCATTTGAGGGGATGTGACAGCTACAGTCGGCGGATATTATGCGTCCAACGGTAAATAGTTGCCACATGTGAGTGTTTAACTGGTACGTCAGAAGCATGCGTACGACATTTACGGCTGCGTGATTTGCTTGACAAAGAGCAACAGAAACAATCACTTAACCATTTTCTATTTCATTTTGTACTGGTTTTTGTCATTTTCTTCAGCGAAGGCCATAGAAGTTTTCCCAACATAATTCCCACAACCTTAGACGCGGATGAACATTAGACTTCCAATATTCAGGTAAAAATGAACTTTTTTAGAGAACTATAAGAGCTTCAGCATAACCAGGGGAGGGAAAAAGAGGAGGGTGTGATCTCAGTGGAGCCGATCACCATGATAGTGCCGCCGAAACTACAAGATTTGCCAGAAACCATTACGCCGAAGAGTAGCGCTTGTTCAAGCGTAGGTGGTAACTCTGGTGACCACCATTCTTCAACCTTTAAAGACTCATCTTTAGAGAGGATGCTTAGTGATGCGAGAGATGCGGGAGAAGGTGCTAACAGTCCCCCAGTAACAAATGTGGAGGCGGATGTGGTCGTCTTTGAAGAATGGGAGAATAGAACTATCAATGGTAGATTGGATAATATCTGTAAGGCACCACAAAGTTTGCTTGCTGATTTTAGGTTTAGGGTCGCCCTCCATCCTAAGGTAGTAGATAGTGTGGCTACTATCAAAGGATATAAGAAATTAGAAGAGATGGTGAAGCAATACCAAATCCTTATTACCATTTTGCTTCAATTTGGCACCAAAAATGAAAGGGCGTGCACGATGTCATAAACAGGATGGATACCAGTGTACGTAGACCATTTTGACGCCGATCTACGTTTTCCTTTGCCATGGTTGATTTTTGATTTATTATCAGAGTACAAGTTGGCACTAATGCAATTAACTCCCAATAGCATAAAGTTTATTATTGGGTTTATGGTGTTGTGCGAGAGGTTAGAGATACCTACCAAAGGGATAGTATTTGGGTCACTGTTTCTTTGTAGGTTGAGCAGTACCCAGACGAGGTGGTATTATATTTCTGACGGAGAAAAGATGATGCTCTTCAAGAACATGAAAAATAAGGTAGCGAGGTGGAAGAGGCAATTCAATTCATCTTTGTTCGTGACACGCGAACAGAAAGAATAAGCATCGAGCTGGCTGCTCGCCTTTCCGATTGGTGATTAGGTCATACTTACATGAACTATCCCACCCTGGTGCTAGATGATGTGGATCTAAAGAACAAGTTACTAGATTATGTAAAGGATGAAGGATTAGTAGACGTAGAGGCCCTGGTTACCCCTAAGCAGCTCGTAGTGTTTGGGTTTGTGGATGTCACAAACCTATACACCGAAGGTATATTTCTATTGTAGATTGTGATTTCTAGTCAATCTGAGTCTTATGTATTTGTTTGTGCAGGAGAGATGAGTAGCATATTGGAGAGGCAAAGTGAACGAGCTCAACGCTCGCGAGGTCGCCGTGGGGAGGGCAGCTCACAAAGTTCGACTCTCTTTGACGAATAGCCACCTGTTATGCCGTCCCATAGCTTGTCACAGAGGGAACGAGGCTCGAGCTCGATGTCCAGGCCTTATATCAAGCAAAGAGTTGAAACTTCCTTCAGATTCCCAAAGGCGCGTTCGCGATGACTCAGATGCAAAGGATGATGTGCCACTGCTTAGGTGGAGAACGAGCACTGGGAGTCAGCCCGTTCAACCTGTAGTGGTGCGCTCGTCCAACGTGCTCCCCACCTCCACACGTGATGCTGTCGAGGCTGGTTCGATAGTAACGGCGATATCTGGCCCCAGGATTGCTTACCCTAAGGGTTTCAGTTATACTAAGATGGACTACCAGGCTACCATGCTGCAGGGGATGCATAACTTTGTTCCCCTGGTGGACCACCAGCATGCCAAAGATTACATGCAGCAGCGTGGGGGGCATGATGCTATGTTGAAGTTGATGGACGTAAGTACTTTCGTTAAACATTTGTATTATCATACGCTCTCAATCTTAAGTTAGAAACTAACATTTGAAATTGCATGGTAAGCGTTCAATTATGCGGTCGCACTGTTTTAGTGCGAGTAGGGGGTGTGGGGGCAGACCCACGATCTTAATGAAAGCTGCAAACGATTGACTTCTGAAAAGGCAAGCTTAGAAGATGAGGTCAACCACTTGCAAAGCTCTGAAATGGCCAACACAGCAGCGTCAGTTGAGAGCCGAGTTGACGAGTTGGGCAATCAGGTGAACGAGTTGAGAGAAGAGCTGGAGAAGGCTTAAGCTGAGAGGGAGAGCGAGATTCAAGCCGCAAAGGATGAGGCCGGTTGTGTTGAGGATCGGGCCAAGAATGCAGAAGCTTATAGGGATAAGGCTTTGGACAAGCTGAATTCCCTAAAGCAAAGAGTGGCCGAAGCAAACCAGAATCTCATTCGAGCTAAGGCAGCACTCAACAAAATGAAGAAGTCCCATCAATGCCCTATCAGTATTACTCGAGCTCAAAGGGCAGAGTGGCTAATCGGCTCGGATATGTTTCAAGATGCCGTAGCGGTCGCCTCACCCAACACCACATCAGAAATCTACAATGAAATTCGCGGAAAGGTATTACGGCATCGACCTGATTTCCCGATTGGTGAGCTGGCCTTCTATGAAGGAGAAGAAGTTGATGAGCAAGGCAAAAGTCGCACCCCTCTTACTAATAACATGGTACGGTTGAGGTGGGAGCTAAATGAAGATGGAGTGCCCGTGTGGCCTTCATCTGTTGTAGAAGAAGGAGAGGATTTAGAAGGTTTTACCACGGTTTGATTCATGGGTGGGAGACACACCTGAGGAAGAAGCTAAACCTTCCAATACTCCTCCAACTTCTCAGCCTACTACTACACCAACTCGTTCTTCTCCCACTCCTGCTTACGCGTCCGCTCCAGTAGATTTAACGGATGATTAGGGTTTTAGACTTCATCCTTTGTTTTTTTTTTTTTTTTTGTATTGGTCAAATGACCTTTTTGAACAATTTTATAACTGTCCCCTACGTTGTCATGTGTACTATATTGGAAAGAAATACAATATGGTCAATATTCTATGAAATTTTTGTATTCATTATGCTTTGCATACACTTTACATTTTCTGAATATGATAGATGACAATATAGACTAACTATAATATTTCCTAAGGTTGTGTATGTTCCAAGTGAATGGTAACTGACAGCGTTGTGAATCAGCTAATAAGTAAAACCCAGGTCGTTTAATATGAATAACCATGTAAAGTCTCTCCCGGTTATGAGCGAGCTTGCCCATGTGTGAGTAAGCATTAATGAGTCTAGCTTTACGTAAAACTAGGTCGCCAACTTGAAATTGACGAGCACGCACCCGTTTATTATAAAATCTGGCAACATGACCCTGATAAGCCATGTTCTTCAGCCAATATGTCTCCCTAACTTCCTCCACAAGATCTAGGTTTTCTCTTAGTAATTGCTCGTTATTAGGATCATTGCACAGAGCTAGCACTCGAGCGACAAGCCGATTTCTACAGGGATTACAACTTCAGCTTAGTAGACTAAGGAGAATAGGGTTTCTCCAGTGGCCAAGCTGGGCGTAGTACGGCATGACTAGAACACTTTATTAAGCTCATCAACCTAATTAGAGTGCGCAGATAGGACACATGTTTTAAGGCCATGCAAAATGATTTTATTAACTGACTTCGCTTGTCCATTTGACTGAGGATTATAAACGGATGTCAGAGTTAGCTTGATGCTGCAGTCATTACAAAATGACCTGAAGGCTGCTACTCAGAACTGTGGACCATTATCAACAATGATTCGCTTAGGAATACCAAACCTACACACAAACGCATTAGCTTAGGCACAAATGTGCATGCAAGTAATGCATGTGTGTTTGAGCTTTTGAAGAGTACCTGCACAATATGGAATTGAATAGGAACTCCTTTATTTTCTTTTCGATTGTTGTGGACAACGGTTTGACTTCTATCCATTTGGTGAAGTAATTCACAGCAATAATAAGATGCATACAACCTCCTTTGCCTTTAACAAAATGACCGAGCAGATCAACTCCGCATTGAGGGAAAGGCCAAAGTGATGAGAGCGACGATAACATTTCTCTTGTGTCCAAGGAGATTCATGCTTAGTTTAGAGATAGACATGAAGCTTGTGTGAATTTTAGAACGAGCTCAGATACTTGGCATGTGAATGTCGTTAGTGTTGAACTGGCAGGTCTGACATTTTTTGACATAGCTTTGTGCATCATCCACCATAATGGGCCAATAATAACCATGCCTTAAGAGTTTTTGAGCTAAGGTTTTTCCACCTATATGTGTGTTGCATACTCCTTCATGAACTTCTCTTACAACATATTCAACTTCATAAGGAGTTAAGCAATGTAATAGGGGCATTGACGCTGCTCGTTTATATAGCTTATCATCAATTAGGGTGAAATGAGTTGTCATATGCCTTATTAGTCAAGCACCAGATGGGTTCATAGGTAGTTCACCATTTTGTAAATAAGTAATCAGGGGTGTGGTCCAGCTCGATGATGAGGGATCTGTGCTTAATACTTGGCACTCAGTAACAGGGTCGGCAAAGCTTGGTGCATCAAGCATCTCAATGAATGTTGTCCTTTGGGGAGTAATGTCTTGTGACGAAGCTAACTTCGATAGCTCATCAGCCCGTCGATTATTTGCCCTTAGTATCTTGTTAATCTGAAATGAAACAGAGCTTGACTTCAACTTGTTGACCATAGAGACGTAATGATTGAGCTAAGGGTCTCTGACATCACAGCTCCCATTTACTTGATTTACTACGAGCTGGAAATCACTAAAGACTCTTACGCTCTGCACTTTCAGATCGGATGCTAGTTTGATACCGTAAATGAGTGCTTCGTATTCAGTAGCATTATTGGTCATTTGACATTTGAATCTTAATGCATCCTCGAATTCAAAACCATATGGGCTTATTAACACTGCTTTTGCCCCTGATCCTTCAACACTTGCAGCTTTATCTACGTACAGTGCCCATACATGTTACAAGAGTGTAGTTTCTTCCACAGTCGTCGGGTGACATTCGACTAGAAAATTTGCCAAGGCTTAACCCTTTATGGTTGTACACGGCTCGAATTTTAGGTCTACTTGCTCAGCTCGACTGCCCATCCAATTAGTCACCCAGAAAGCTCGTGTTTATGTAATATCTTTTTCAATGGTAAGTCGGTGAAAATGATAATTTGGTGAGATTGAATGTAGGCTCTTAGCTTTTGCGCGGTGCAAACAAGGGCGAAAGCAGTTTTTTTAGTGAAGGGGTAGTTTTGTTCTGCACCTTGTAGCACCTTACTTGCGTAGCAAATGGGCTTCTGATGTTTATCTTCTTTCCTCAACAGAACCAAGTTGATCGCCTCATGTGCAATTCCCAAATACAAGTATAGGTTTTCTCCGTCAACAGGTTTCAAGAGCAAAGGTGGCGAAGCCAGATATTGTTTGAGGTCATCTAAAGCCTATTGGCATTCGCTAGTCCAGTTGAAGTTTCTAGGCTCTCTCAACGCTTTAAAGAATGGAAGGCATTTTTTTGCCAATCTGGAGATAAACCTGTTCAAGGCAGCAAGACAACTTGTTAGGCATTGCACGTCTTTTACTATTTTAAGGGGCTCCATATACTGCATAGCCTGAATCTTGTCTGGATTCACCTCAATTCCTTTTTTGGAGACCACATAACTTAGAAATTTGCCCAATTCCATAGCAAAAGTGCATTTCAAAGGGTTTAACTTCATCTGTTCTCGGCATAGGTTCTGAAATGTTTCATCTAGATCGTCAATATGATCTTCAGCCCGTAGACTGGTGACAATGATATCATTGGCGTACACTTCAATATTTCTATCGATCT